GGATTGTTCTTGGTAATCCTAAGAAGCCTATTGAATTTGGGGTCAAAAGGTCAAGGGTCAAGTTCACAGTGGCTAAAACAATAGAAATCTTGTATTTATTCTGAGATTATAGGGATTAGGGATTAATTCATATAAAACCTACAGAAGACACTAATGCTGTCAATGAATGTTCCATGTGACCAAGGTACATGTAAGTTGATGTTAAAAGAGTGGTGTTATGTCATGGGAACAGTCACGGTTGCGGGGCATTTGTGTTTGTAAACACACCTGACTTGTTTAATATGACGTCGAATGTCACATGATGACGTCATCGTGACGTCACGTCAAGTTTCATCTATAACACATCCCGGTCTTGGTACATACCAACTTTCAACCCAATCGAACATGTAGTTCTGTAGATATAGACCTTCAAAATATGCATTTTAAATATGACGTCACATGTCATGTGATGACGTCATTGTGAAATCACTTCAATTTTCATCTATAACACATCCCGGTTTAGGTACATACCAAGTTGCAACCCAATCGGACTTGTAGTTATGGAGATATGGGCCTTCAAAATATGCACCTATATTGTGACGTCACGGGTCACGTGATGGCGTCATGATGACGTCAATGTTCGGCACACACCTTCAGATGCTGGTCTAAGTGTGTGCCGAGTATAAAGTGAATCGGATTGATTTTAGTGGCCAAAGTGCCTTGGACAAAAAAAACATGTACCAATGCAATGGGCAAAATGACTGAAAAATAAAAATAAACTAGAGCTTAGCGTTTGTTGTTACAAACGCAGAGTGGTCGGGTAGACAACTATTTTATGAAACACTGTCCAGTTAAGTTATGAATATTTACAAAGAATAACGAAATTTAAACTGTCTGATAAAATTAATCTTTTTGTTTAAAAATGTTTCGTTTAGGTAGTGATCAATGTCAGTATGCATTTATTTTTTTTAAACATAGAAACAGTGAATATGGGTAGTGAATACTGATGTTATTCGGAGAGGATGCATGTTCATTGATTTGCATGTATCCATGTGTCCGATCATAACTGGAGCCATTTTAAATGGTAAGCTGTTTTCAGCATGAACTCCCAATACCATTTGCCTAAAAAAAAAACCGAAATAATACTTACTATCCGAAGGTAAATTTATAAACAGAAACAAACATTTATATTCGCCAAATCGCCGCTCAGAGTTCGTACGAGGATGCCTTTCCCGGCCGCGCCACGAACAGCGTAAGTGCACACATTCTACTTTCCGAATCACAGTGTGCATGCAGTGTACAAGCTTAACCCTGGTTATGACACATTAACTGCGCATGCGCGCTTTTCTGTCTTGCCTTTTTTTCAAGACGAAGACGCGCGCAGCGATCTATTTTAGTCGTACACGCGTAACAACAGTACTTCTCCTCAGACTTTCTCAGAGTCTACGTACTAATAACTGGACATGTACATTGTACATGTACATGTACGCCCGCGAAAAGCAAACGAAAAGCCAGGCTACGTTCAGCGGGCGTGCGCGCCCTATGCCGTGGCCGAACGGCGACGCACTATGCTTTCATTGAATTTTTGAGCGACGGACTACTATAAGGGTATTTTTGTCGGCGGTGGGTCACGTGTGTGAACAATTAGACAAGCCACGAACCTGGCACAATCATGGCCAATGTTTAATTAAGCTATCATTCAATGGACAATTCACGATTATATCTCTCAGGATTGATTTATTTTTGAAGAATAGAAGGTCTTTTCGTTGTAACTTCCGGTCTGATGACGTCATCAACTTCAAACTTCACACGTGTTGTTTGCATGAAAGTCATTATATATACCAGTTTTCAGGCGATTACAAAACACTTCGCCACAGACATCTATTCAAAATGCATTTTGGACATTCTTAAACTTGCCGCTAGAGGGTGGTCGAGAATTTCATGACGTCACCGGTACAAGTTTTGAAGAATATTGTCTGGCCAGAGACTAACACCATTGAAAGCAAGTTCATATCTATTTCCAATTTTAAATAGTAAGCCAATAATAAGCCACTTCCGGTTTCGACCGGAAGCAAAGGTCATGTGATTTTACGTACACGTTAAAAAATAAAGACCTTACTTTACTCTATCACTTGCCGCAAACAGCAAGACGACAGATCTCATTATTGATTTTATATAGATTTTTAAAGATAAAAAAATATCAAAGTTTAATTGCTTGTCACGTGACACCTGATGACGTCATCATGCCATCATTGTTCTGGCACAATCTTAGCATTCCGTCTTTGCTTGGTGTTACTTTGATGAAGATGCCCCATTGAAAAGTGGCCAAAAAGGTCCCTTGAGAAAGAAGGGCACAAAGTGGAAAAACTGTGTACAAAGTCAATGGGCTTAAATAAATATTCGCCACAGACATCTATTCAAAATGTATATTGGACATTTTTCAACCTGCCGTTAGAGGGCGCTCTAATATTTCATGACGTCATCGGTTACAGTTTCGAAAAGTACTTTCTTGCCGAAGACTAACATCGTTGAAAGCACGTTCATATCTTTTACCATTTTTAAATTACAAGGCACTTCCGGAAGTAAGGGTCGTATGATTTGACACCCATGAAGTAAATTGAAGACCCAGTATTATTCTATTGACTGCCGTTAAAAACAAGTTCCGGTCTCTCACAGTTGATTTTATATCGATTTGTAATGATTAAAAATTAGAAACAATAAATTGCTTGTAATTTGATACCTGATGACGTCATCATGACGTCAGGACAATATGCACTACTTGGGATCAGGGTCGATATGTGTTCGAAGTTATAAGTTTATATCTTGAACGGTTTAGGAGTAAACCCGCGGAGAAGTATTGTCCGGAAAAAAAAAAAAAAGAAAGAAAGAAAGATTAATCGGAACAATTCTAGACAGTGGTCGGGTTGTGCCCGACCACTCAAAAATAAAAAAAAATCTTAACGAAAACAAAGGCTGTTTTGGCCGGTTGCCGAAACAGCCAATGAGAACAATCTTCCGTGGAGGCCTAGAATACGCTCTGGAATCTGAATCAATCGCTAGCAAATTCTATGCGAGCACTCTGATTGCAATCAGAGTGCTCGCATAGAATTTGCTAGCAATTCAAAAGACTCCCATATGTTGTGTACAAAATGAAAACGTATTCGACAAGTCGGTAATTGAACATCAATAGTCAGCATCATTGGTCTGGAAACCAGTCTATGCGCAGTGCAGCGATATTTTGCGTGTGTGGAGCCAGTAACCGGTACTGTACATAAAACAATTACCGACTTGGCACCAAGTCTAGTTTTTGAGGAGTGATCTGACTACCTCAGTTCTGTTACATGTGTCTCCCTTTTTCTCTTGTTCTGATGACGATGGTAAGTGTACAAGTTCCGGACTATTTGTGTAACTTGGGACCCCTACAACTGACTCTGACTGATTTTCTTCCTGGGAGGGATAAATGTGATCAATGTGCACATACCTGTTTTTGTATACATATGAACAATGTATACTATGTACGTGGTCCACAAACTTTTACGAGTTTCCCAGGTAGCCACTTCACCAGCCTGTTTTCATGACTTTTGACCCTCGCTTTCTAATTTACCTGGACAGTTCACTCATTTACTCTGTCTTGGTCATGATACATTCTTTGTTTTTCTTGTTTGCTCTCAAGTTTTTGTGCCAAGTTGGGTTTCAAGAGAGAAAATCTGGTTGTTGCCTCTTGAGGAATAACTCGGCTGGAGTTCTACCTGTAGTAGTCCGTTGGGTGTTCCTATACATTATGAGGAAATTTGCTAGTTTGTGATGCACTGAAAGATGCTGCTTTTTAGGGTTAGGATCCAACATTTTTTGATCAGTGACAATCTGAACGGACCGCTCTGCTGCTCCATTTGAAGCAGGGTGGTATGGTGCCACTCGGGTATGTTTGATACCGTTTCTGTCCATACACTCTTTGAATTCAGCTGAAGTGAATTGTGGCCCATTGTCTGAAACAATTTCTTCTGGAAGTCCATATGAGGAAATAACCTCAAGACATCCATGATCTTTGCAGTAGTGATAGTTTTATACGGGGTTTACTTCTACCCACTTTGAGTGACTATCACTCAAAATTAACAACTGCTGGCCTTTTAGCTCAGCAAAATCAATGTGCACCCGTTGCCAAACTTGGAATGGCCACTCCCATGACTTGAGTGGAGTGGTAGGAGGAGCATTTCCAACTGATAGGCACGTGGTACAGGCATTTACAAGGTTTTCGATGTACAAAGTAATTATCTAGCCCTGGCCACCACAAGTAAAGTGACGTGCTAGGCTTTTCATACTACATATGCCCATGTGTTGGTTGTGGAGATCATTTAACAGCCTGTCTCTGTGCTAAGCTGAAATAACTACTCTCATTCATTCTTCACAAAATACAGCCCTTATCAATTGACGATTCCACTCTACGCCTGAAGTACAGTTTCATCTGTTCATCTGGAACAAAACCTGGCCAACCATTTGCTACAAAGTCTACACTTTGGCTAATTCTGTGTCGGTTCTAGTGGCTCTACTGATATCATCTGATGTAATCGGCAACTCATCTACGCATGAGAAATACTTGACCTCCTGTACATTAGAGTAGTCTGTCTACCTGTCTTGGTAATCTGGATAATTCATCAGCATTTCCATGGTCTACAGAACGCCTATACTCAATATCATATGTGTACGCAGACAGTATGATAGCCCATCTTTGCATTCGCGCTGCGGCCAATGGCGGAGTGGAGGCCTGCGAATTGAAAATCCACAGTGAGTGGCTTGTGGTCTGTAACCAAAGTGAATTTCCGTCCAATCAAGTACTTGTGGAATTGCAGCAATGTGATTGGAATGGTACTCTCCAATTGCTTGTTTTCCTCCAGAAATCTTCCATGAGGGAATTAATATACATGTAACCACATGTATAACTTAAATGTTGATGTAAATAATAATATGTCTCAAACCATTTTAATAATAACAATTTCCTCTTGTTTTCTCTTTTTATTGTTCAGGTGGTCGAATGAGTACAAGTCGGCACCCTGATAACCCACAATGCAGTGTTGACCTTGGAGCCCAGTACATCTCACTTACACCTCAATATGCAGAGAGACACAAAAGGTATTCAAAACATACATGTGTGTACGCACTGAATGTAGTTGGTCAGCCGACATCAACCTCGTCCCCAGGGCTCACTTTATTTCCAACCTAGTTTCCAGTAGTAAGCCCTGGATAGGAAACTTTCTTCCTGTATCCTGATTAGATACCGCAATTGGCTAGTAATGGATTTTTATCGTGTACTTGGTGCTATTATTCACAACGTGCAGTACGTGTTTTCGCGATCATTCGTCCACGCCTTCTCGAAAATACTAATTTCCTTTCCAATTTGCTCATATTAATATGAAATATGATACTACATGCTGTCTCGATAAGATCGTAGCAGTTTAATTTTAAAAATCGTGTTTTCGTTACTCACGCCGTGCTCGCCAATTGACTCTGTTTTTACCCCAGACACCGCATACGAAAACAAACGCTAATGTAACGCATATCCATGGCACCAGACTGTTCCTCATTTGTATACGTGTTCAAAAATCTTGCACATGCAAATGATCCAATACCAGGGTGAGAGAGCAGGTAGTGATGGGCGGGTACTGTTCGACACCCTGGGGACGAGGTTGAGCTGACATGTAATTTTACAATTTGTTGGCATTTTTAAAATAATGATTATTTTGAAACTAGTAAGTTCTTCCCTATGCAAGTTTTTATGTATGTTATTTATCAGTTTAACAATAAAACAGATTAATTATGCAGAATACTGTCAATACAATGTAAAGTACATGTAAACAAAGTAAGTATTAACTAGACGTACCGGTATGGTGTGTTTGTAGTTAAACACAGAGCTGTTTCGGTTTTAGAAGAAAATGATCATGTAAGTGATTTTTGTTAAGCAATTACCTATTGTAGATGCACACATTTGTCCTGATCAGATGTGTAGTTCTGTAGATATTGAACTGTAAAAACTACAATTCCTAGGAGGTGACAGATGGTAATATCATCATGACGTCATTGTACTGTACACCATTTCATGGATGTGAAAGGTCTCGTATTAATTTTCATCTATAACACATCTCAGTCTATGTACATTCATGCACCAAGTTACTACCCAATTGGAGTTATAGATTTGTACATATAGGCCTTCGAAAATGTAATTTTAATGTGACTTAATTTATATTTTCACCTGTAACAAGGCCCTATCTACCTACATGGCCTTGTCTACCGTCATCAACACATCTTCTCTAGATATACATGTAGACCTATATGATTATGAATATATAGGAATATGAACCTTTAATGTGACGTTACTTATATTTTCACCCAAAACACATAATGTACAAAGTTTCAACCCAATTGCCCCTGTGAGATTATTGATATAGAGCTTCAAATAATGCACGTTTAATGTGACGTCACGAGACACACAAGAATGACGTCACGATGTTACTTCTCAAATACACCATTTCTCATGGTGGTCATTGTATGTGCCAAGTTTCAGTTGATCTGAATGCAGAAAATGTGAATTTTGTAAGTAGAAAAAAAGAATTTGCATAATCGTATGTTTTATTGGATGACGAGGGACCCCCCATCACCCTTTGGTTTTGTCTTTGTTCTTTTTTAGTACTGTTGATGTTTTCCTTTGTTCTTGACAATACTTCTTCACAGCTTTTCTTCCAAACAGAAAACGCATGGGTTAATTTTTGTGAGGTGGCAGACATAGCTTTGGTGTAAAAAAATGAGTTCAGGTATCTTGGGACAGTAATTGATAACAGGTTAAATTGGAACAAAAACACTCATAATCCGTGCCACAAGGCAAACCAGAGGCCTTATTTACTCAGGTAGTTAAGTTCTTTTAATGTCCGTGATTCAATTTTGCATCTTTTTTACCAGAGTGTTGTTCAGTCAATCATTTCTTTTAGTTGCATTGTATGGTACAAAAACTTAACTGTAAATAACCAGGGGAAAATTGAACAGATCACAAAAACTGCAAGAAAAATAATAAGTCTGGAAGTAAAACAGGTGAACGAAATTATTGAAACAAACTATCTCACGAAACTGCAGATGTCATCTCAGGCCCCCCCCCCCAAAAGTCTCCGTTTCCTGGTATGGAGCTTGCCCCAAAAGTGGTGCGGCGACGCCTTTTTTTTTTCCCCTACTTTTTTTTTTATTCAAATGTCGGCTGATGTTGCAGATGATGCTTCGATCCCCTTAAAACTCTCAAAAATATCCTTCAGAGTGGAGCTTGAGGTGACCTCAGTAAGGCCATAGGCTTGAGAATTCTACACCCACTAATACGATCTTGACCGACACGAACATTCTTCGGGAAATTTGGATAGTCAAGACAAAAATCAGAGAAAACGGTAACGTCAGACCATACAGCGACATCGTGCATGTGCTGCCAAGGCTGGTCATTAGTCTGCTCCCTTACATATTGCGCTAATTAAAAAGCGTTAACAGGTTCCAGATACACGACCATCGCTCCCTTAGTCTGGCTTCCAGACCCACAATGACAAAATTACACACCGTCTGCAAATGGTGCCCGACTAAATTTAGTGCAAAATATATGGGAGCCCAGAGAGGCCACATAAAGCTATACTCAATAGTAACCCAATCTAAAAACACGTTAAAATTGTGCAGATCTTACATTGAGAAAAAAAGGAAACTTTTTTGGGGGGCCTTATCAAAACTATTCCAGAAAGAAGTAAAAGCATGCTTGCAGGGTTAATATAGAAAGAAGAAGGAAATGAATCGCTTAAAGTACAGTATACAGATAAATTTCATATAAATGCTACTTAAAATGTGCATGTACACTTTGTATTCATCACCATACATACATATTGTACACACATCTCCGAACACAACTGCAAAAACTGTGAATTACCGCAAAAAATTGGCAGTTTATCGAGTATAAAAAAAAATATTGTATAATTTTCTGGAAATCATCTTTGAAATGTCTAACTTTTTTCAACACTTTAACCAGTTTATCAAAAAACAAAACTAATATTAATTTACATCACCCCGACACAAATTCAATTTTATGAATAGTTTAATTGTGTTTCCCGCTGCTACATGTACATCAGATTTGAACCAGCCAACCGATCCCGCAAGCTCGGTGGTCGAGTGGAAAGACGTCTGCACTTGAAAGCAGGAGTCATGAGTTCGAGTCCCACCCAAGTGATTTTTCCCAACTTTCACTTGGGAGGTAACAAACTGAGTATACAGTGTTTATACGTCGGTGAAGGGCAAAAAAAACAAGTTTACCCCAAAAAAACCTTATATTGATTTACATCACCCCGACGCAAATTCCATCTTATGAATAGTTTAATTGCGGTACCTGCTGCTACATGTACATCAGATTGAAACCAGTCAACCGATCCCGCAAGCTCGGTGGTCGAGTGGAAAGACGTCTGCACTTGACAGCAGGAGGTCGTGGGTTCGAGTCCCACCCGAGTGATTTTTTTCCAAAGTGGAGGTAACACACTTGAGTATACAGTGTTAATATGTTGGTGAGGGGCAAAAAAAAACCTAATATAGGGTTTTAAAAAAAATCCTGGATCCGCCCCTGACTGTAAATCACATCTGGTGTTTGTTTTTTTTCTTCCAAAGTACAGTACTGAAGATCTTGAACCAGTGCTGGAAAAAATTGCATCTGAATAAAAAAAAAAATTATTTGTTAGATGATTTTAATATTAATCTTCTTAACAGTGAAACTCACGCTGGAACTAATGATGTACTAAACCTCTTACCTCAGTTATTTTTTCGCCCAACAATTGACAAACCAACCAGACTAACTCGAAAGTTTGGCAACATTGACTGATAACATCTTTACTAACAACATTGAAATCCATTCTCTACTTTTATTGTTCTATCGGATTTCAGCGATCAACTTCCAATCATTTTCTTTGGCTCCAGCAACCTTGCTCAAGCTATTAAGCAACAATCTAGTTCTTTTTGGAAAAGGAATACATCAGCTAGAAGTGTTGCTGCTCTGAAAGGTGAATTAGCACAAGTTGACTGGGATGCAATTATTAGCGATGATGGAGTATATTTGCAATACTCGCAGTTCATATCCAAGCTAAATGAACTCATTTATAAATGCATGCCTTATAAAAGATAAAGTACCTAAAAATCCCTGGATTACTAGGTCAACTAAAGTCTATGAAAAAGAAAATTGTGATGTTAACGACCCTCAAACGATTGCAGAGCATTTTAATCAATATTTTGTTAACATTGGTCCAGATTTAGCCTTTAAGATACCACATAGTACTTCTGACCCGATAAAATATCAAAGATAACTTTCCTGATTCCCTATTTTTAAGCCCAATCACACAGGAAGAACTTCCAAATAAGAAGAGTTCTGGTCATGATGAACTTGATAATATTCTGATAAAAAGTATTGCTCCTTTTATTATTCAGCCTTTAAAAGATATTTTTAATCACTCTTTTTAATTTCTGGAGAAGTCCCTAATAAACTTAAAATTGCTAAAGTTACTCCAGTTTACAAAAATGGTGATCGTTCCCATGTCACTAATTATCGTCCCATATCTGTCTTGCCATGCTTCTCAAAATTGTTAGAAAGGTTAGTTGGAAACCGTCTTGGAAAAATGTATTGCTAGATTTAACATACTGTCACAATCTCAGTATGGCTTCAGGGCCAAATATTCAACTGAACTTGCCTTGATTGATTTAGTTGATATTTTAACATCTAGTCTGGACAAACGTGAGCATACAGTTGGTATTTTTCTGGACCTTTCTAAGGCATTTGATACTATAGACCATGACATTTTTATTAGTAAACTACAAACATATGGTGTATGAGGTACTGCACTCGAATGGTTTAAAGATCACTTGCGAAATAGGAAACAATTTGTTGTCTGGTAAAATAAAAAGTCCAATTACAAACCAATCACATGTGGTGTACCTCAGGGCTCAATCCTAGGACCCATCTTATTTCTTATTTATATTAATGATATTTGTAATTCTACTCGACTTCTGACGTTCGTCTTATTTGCAGAAGATACAAACATATTCTACAGTAGTAAACATATAAATGATGATGTTGACATAATGAATAGTGAGCTAACTAATGTATTTGAGTGATTTGTATGTAATAAATTATCTTTGAATTTTAAGGAAACTCATACGATGGTTTTTACAAGTAGAACTGTACATAAAAACATTAAGATTCGTTTTAACAATAATCATATTGAAAAGGTTGATTCCTGTACATTTTTGGGTGTCATTATTGATGATAAGTTAACATGGAGAAATCATTGTCAGAAGGTCCTTACACTTATATCTCGCAACGTTGGCATTCTTAGAAAACTTAGATATTTTGTCCCATCCCGTATTCTATTTTCTATTTATAATACGTTATCCTTGCCTCATCTTCAATATGGTATACTTGTCTGGGGAAATACTCATAAAAGCTACCTTGATAAGTTGCTCATTATACAGAAGAAATCCTTAAGATTGATTAACGGTTCTAGCTTTAAAGATCACCGGATCTGCCCCGCTATGCGTTAAGTTCAACGACTTATATGTATATGATCTTTATAAACATAAATTGTGTGCTCTAATGTATATTTTTGAAAAAAAGCTCTAATGTATACTTTTGAACAAAAATGTACTGCCTTTGAATATAAAATCGGGGTTTTGTTGGTAAGGAGCACTGACATTCATAATTACGACACCAGGGCCCAATTTTATGGAACCCGTAACGGTTAGCGAGAAATCGCCGCTAACTATAGCGGAAAATTTAGCGCTAACGGTTAGCGTATTTCACGGATTAGCAAGGAATTTTGGCTTGTGCGCATGCGTACTTCCCGTAACTAAGGATTCTGCTTGTATTTTACTTGTATTTTTAACTAAAGAACTGCTTGTATTTTACGTTCTCTTAAAAAATTCACAATCCAATGCACAAAGCAGGGGAACCCCCCAGGTCTAGAACATTTTTAAAGACAATTTTATGGTTAATTGTATATAACACATTAGTGAAGTCAGTTAAAACCAGGGTACTGACATTATTTTTGACATTAGCACTTGATATCAAATGGTGGTACCGGTAAATGTCGACAAGACAATGGCCGACAAGACAATGGCTTGTAGAATTACCCTTTTGATTCCCAAATTGCCGAGGATCAATATTTTACTTGATTTAGCTTATAACCGATTACCCATTTACCATTTGTCTAACTTTCAAACAAAGTTCATGACGATTGGACCTTCCCTGATGTGTTTTTAAAAATTGCAATTTTGATGACATCATGATGAAGTCACACATATTTCCAAATTTTGTGCGTACATGTACTTTGCATGACCTAAATAAAAAAGAATAGACCATGTAAGTCTCCCGAGTTCACGTTAACTTTTTATGGGAACGTCTTCGGTAACAAACACTGACTAGTCACAGACTCCCGTGTTTGAATTTACCCAATTGTTATCTGCTAGATCTGTGAACGGAAGTTGAGGTCAACATTGTTAGTTTTATAATAGTCATCAATTCGCAATATTTTCAATTTGTTGTAAATTGAAATGCTTTATTTTCTTTCAAATTACACATTTATTGCCCTTGATTGGATGGGCACAGTCGGAACACAAAATAAACGAAAAAAGTAAGACAATACACACAATGTAGTTCCTATACATGTACATGGTCCATGGACGTATAGATATTCTCGTAAAATCTCGTAGGTTTTTTTAGGTCAACTTACATGCTCTATTACAAAAAGAATTGTAAATGGGTCATTTACAATTTGTATAGTCTACAAAATGTAATTCCTTTACAAAAATCATAACATGATTTTCCAAAACAGAAACAGCCTTGTGTTTTTTTACTACATGTACAAACACACCACACTTCTAGTTAAAGTTGTTTTTTTTTCTGTCCATGCTGCTTTACAATGTACAACCAAATTGAATATTCAATTCTTTATTTCATCACAAAAGAAAACGAAATTCATTGTCCCAATGTGCGACTAAAAACAATAAAGTATACATGAATTGACACATTGAAATTTACGTTTAAAAAACCCAAAAACTATTAACTACCCTTTAGCCGAGAGGCTTGAGGGGTATTGTCATCGCCTACGGCGTCCGTCCGTATGTCTGTCCATTCTGACCATACCCCACTTGTGGGGTGATGTTCCTTTCAGGACACATCACCCCACTATTTTCACAATAGAAAAACATCACCCCAGAAGAGAATCTTTAGAAAAAGGGATAATGGGAACACAATGCTATCACCCCACAATTCCGTCTGGCTCTGTCCGTCCGGGCAGCTTAGTTTCCGGATGATAACTTCAGTTAGAAATGTTGTTTGGGATTGTAACTTTGGAAGGGGGGTGCCCTTAGGAGTAGGCAAGTTGGGATTGGTTTTGAGGTCAAAAGGTCAAAGGTCAAGGTCACCGTGGTGAGTTAATAGATAAATGGTTTCCGGATGATAACTTGAGTTAGAAATGAGATTTTGGTGTGTAACTTTGGTAGGGGGTTGCCGTAGGGAGAAGGCAAGTTGGGATTGGTTTTGAGGTCAAAAGGTCAAGGTCATTGTGGTGAGTTAAAGCTAAATGGTTTCTGGATGATAACCTCAGTTAGAAATGAGATTTCGGTGTGTAACTTTGGTAGGGGGTTGCCCTTGGGAGTAGGCAAGTTGGTATTGGTTTTTGGGTCAAAAGGTCAAAGGTCAAGGTCACTGTAGTGAGTTAAAGGTAAATGGTTTCCGGATGATAACTTGAGTTAGAAATAAGATTTTGGTGTCTAACTTTGGTGGGGGGTTGCCCTTGGGAGTAGGCAAGTTGGGATTGGTTTTGAGGTCAAAAGGTCAAAGGTCAAGCTCACCGTCGTGAGTTAAAGGTAAATGTTTACCGGATGATGACCTTAGTTAGAAATGAAATTTTGGTGTCTAACTTCGGAAGGGGGTTGCCCATTGGTGCAGGCATGTTGGGATTGGATCTGGGGTCAAAGGTTGGAGGTCAAGGTCACCATGTTGAGTTAAAGGTTAATGGTTTCCAAATGATAACTTGACTCTGGCTGAGGGGTTTCAACAGCAATGCTGTTAATTTTACTTATAGCAAACAGAGAGAGCATTGTATACTATGGAAACAAGATTTGAAAAACGATCCTGAGAAAAAGTTGATAATTTTACCAACAGCTACCCGGTACCCCTGCTGGAGTGTTTGAAAAAGAATCCTCTGTAAGCAGTGGTGTTTGCTTTTTTAAATAGAAACATGTACTTATTATGTGCAACCAATGAGGTGTTGCCATTGGATGTGGATTTACTTTAATGAGTATTTGTTGTTTTGAACTGATATCTGCAGCTACCATGGGGAGTTAATCTCTAATGGTGTCTTAAAACCGTTGGAGGGCATTATTGAGGGAGCCGTAGAGAGTGCGCAGGGAACTCTTCACTATGTTTCACCCAATGGAACCAGCTCAATTGTCAAACACTTCTTAAAGAACTCCGGTAAGTACTACCCTAAAGTGGTTGTGTGCATAAATACATTTGGTTCATTCTGTAAATTTTGGGTTAACTTTTATCCCTGTCATAACTATAATGCAGTCCTTAACTTAGTCGTTCTCCAAGCGTGATTATGAATAGCAAGCTACCTAACACCCCCCCCCCCCCAAAAAAGAAAATTGTTTGGAGTCATTCTTAATGATATTTGAATGGCAAATTACATAGTACATATTAATTTGATTTCATTTGTTTTTTATTCCAACTTGGAACACGCCCCTTAACCCAGGGGAGCGTTTCTTCAACATCTTAAAGCTGAATATGTATACATTTTGAAGGCCCAAGATGCTCACTGGGGCATTCCAATTGACTGCATCAAAAGAATTCTTTAATTTAAGAATCAAGACGGCTTTCGTTTAAGACCTAAATTCAGGTCAGCTGAAAAAAAGTATATTATAGAATAGAATTGGTAGGTTTTTTTTCACCTAGTTTAAACCAGTACTTAAGCATTCAATGTACAGGGGAAAATTACCTAATTCACCACCAACAACATCATTAAATGTAACAAGGTAACAGGGACAGAAGAAATGTCACCCTTTGGACCCTAAATTTATAGAATGACCCATTTACAATCATGTAGTTAACTTTTCATACTCCCAATTAAAAAAAAAGAAAAAGGAAACCCAAATGGCGCCCCCTATTTTTTAAAGAAGTTCTGCATTGTAGCACATTCAAGATCTAGGACGTAAAAGCCCAATTAATAATTTTAGTAAAAGAACTGTTCATATCGCTCATGTACTTTTCAAGTTACGGAATTTTAAACACAAACAAAATATACTAATTTTGTCTGCGGGTCACAATAAAGGTACATGTAAGTGATATTTCAGCAAAACGAAAACAATTCACATATCAAAAAACCATCAGAACACTCTCATAACCATGATGGCTGGCACTTATCATAACCTTTATTTAAACGCTTTTTGGCTGGTTCCAATGTTAATGTCAAGAATTTATTGTCACGAGTTTATAGTCTTGCCCTGCCTTCTACTTGGCTACCCCGATACTTATGGGATTATTCTGATATCGCTTTCATGATACGACATGGTTTCATTTTGGGCAGTTTTACGGGAAAGGTTGCAAAATCAAACAATTGAAATACCTTCATAATTTTCTAAGAAAATAAAGATTAAACACTGCAAGTTTCTTTTACACAAGTACCCCTATATTGCATTGCCTATGTAATATGATATTGATCTTAAATTTGCTGATAAATTATGCAAGACAACCGCCACCCGACCTCTGGATTTTGACCTATCAGTGGGCGCTTTCTATGTATATCGGGTCTTAGGTCATTCACCCGTTGTTGCGTCATACATGTAGACATCGATTAATGAAACCTAGGCACGACCAAAGATCGTAGACTACGGCGCTATATGATCTTTGGACAAGACATCTATACGCTGTAAATTGAGCAAACAAAGGCTGCAGTCACACGCTCTGTATTATGTTACGCGATATGTGCGCCAAGCTTGTCTAGGTTTTAATAGCCTTGGTCAATGCTCTCCTCGTTATTCGTCCCGTACGCGGTCAATTGTCAGCATATATCCTCACACGCTATGCACATGCATGTAAAAATACAGCGCGAACAGCGACCTCACGCGGCCACTATTTTTATGCAAATTAGTTGAAGACGAATTCGAGCCTTGGTTCAATCGTCGGTAAAAGCTTATGTTTTTCTTTACTTTGCGCTGGATTTCCAGCGCACGACCTCGTATGCGAATACAGATAAGTATAGGCGGGGCTAATATGTGGAGTGTCCAATCACAACTTGGTTATTCCCGACGTCATCAAATTATATGCTGCTTACTTTGCATGCATTGCATCACGACAAAATGGCGGAGTTTCAACATCGGTTGTCGACCGAAGATATATCATGTTGTTTGAATTCTGCAGCAGATAAATTATGCCTCGAAGATTTTCGACCCGAGCAGCGGAAGGCCTTAGAATCCTTTCTCTGTGGTCACGACGTTTTCGTGAATTTGCCGACTGGTTATGGGAAATCCATCATTTTTCAGGCAGCTCCATTCTGCTCTGAGCTGGCACGGCCAGCAGGGCCTAGCACTAGCAGCGCAAAGCCCATAGCGATAGTCATCTCGCCCCTGACTGCATTGATGCAGGATCAACTGGATTCGTTGGCTGCTAAAGGTATTGAAGCGGCATGTCTGACTAAGGAGACAGCTCCAACTACCAGGCGTAGAGTGAACCAAGGACAGTTCTCTCTAGTGTTTGCTAGCCCAGAAGCCATGGCTGTCAGTGGCAGGGCAATCTTATCCAGCGATGTGTATCGCCAAAACTTGTGCGGGATTTTCGTGGACGAAAGTCACTGTGTGAAAAAATGGTGAGTGAACATGATCATGCCGGTCAACTTGACTGAATTGTTGCATTTAGTAACAAAGGGGAAAGAATGTTGCAACCTGACGCTGCTTTTTTGTTCATGTTCATATAGGCCTATCATGTCAATGAAGGTCAGTCGTTGCAAAAATGATAAAAGACATGAATCTGGGAATGAGAAATATTTCCATTTTAGCTTCGTAAAAAAAATATTCATGACTCTTTTTAGACTTTGTACACAAGTCACAACTGCTGCAGTAGCGTCGGGTTGTTTTTCTCGTCTGGGTTTTTGATAAAAAGGAGGAAGCGGGGCTTTTCTATTTTTTTATTTTTTATTTCTTTCAAGATGGCCGTCATTTAAAAATTTCCTGCAACCGTTGGGTGTTTCCACCGTTCGAAGACACTTTTAAAAAAATGAAAGATGAGTTGGACAAGAGAACTGAACATATTTACAGTGTAATTTAGACTTGTATTGGTCTACAATTTATTTTGCGATGAATTCTCGGCGGGGACGAGAAACAATTTGCATCATGGTTTAATCATTTGCAAAGACAGCATTGTTATTATTTGTATACTTTCGTACAGATGCACATGTTAAGTCAGTCATTATCGAACTGGTTTGCACGCTCATTGCTCATTGTATCAGAGATTCCTAAATGGTGCCTTAAAAAAATTTAAAAAAAAACATAAACAGAAATAAGTTTTAAATACACATTCATTGTAAGCATTTACAATTTTATGATGCCATTCATACTGAATATTTTTCATGGGTCCCCTGGATAAATACAATTCTGTTCCCTTTATTTTGTCTGTCAATTTAGGGGTTTTGCTGACGGAAGAGTGAAAGCCTTCCGGGATGAGTACTCCCGCCTTGGAGAGCTTCGCTCCTTCACCGGACGATCTGTTCCCGTTGTGGCACTTACTGCAACAGCAACTTCAAGCACCCGTGCCACAATAATGGAGTCACTGTCACTCTCAAATGCCGTCATTATTTCGAAGCTTCCACAACGAGACAACATCAAGTTCGTCGTCGTTCAAGTCCGTGAGAGAGACATTTTCAAGACCTTTGAATGGAAACTCCAGGACTTGTTGCAAAAAGGTGCGAACTCCAACCGTATGATCATTTATTGCAGAACCAAACAACAATGCAACTGTCTATATGCAAAGTTCGAGAAGGTGATGAAACCTTCGTCTGCCTCTGACAGACTCTTTGCGAAATTTCATGCCCAAACAGATGACGAAGTAAAGGCGTTTGTCATTGACTCCTTCCAAAATATCAACAGCAATCTCAGGTTGCTGTTTGCAACTGTGGCCTTTGGAATGGGTGTTGATGTGAAGCAGTTACACACTGTGATGCACTACGGACCACCACATGACATTGAGGAGTTTCTTCAAGAGAGTGGGCGAGCTGGGAGAGATGGAGTGCAGAGTACGTCCATTCTGGTGTTGTATCCAGGTGCAGGAAAATTGACACGGCCTGATGATGCCATGAAGTCTTTCATGCAATGTGAAACATGCAGACGACAGCAAGCGTTATCCAACTTTGATGGTGATGATGCTAGTGACAGCAGAGTGCCTTTGCACTTGTGCTGTGATATTTGTGCAGCAAATTGCATGTGCGGAGATCCAACATGCAAATCCAGGACCCTTGAAAAACAGGCCATGCACAGCATAATGGAGATGGGATACCAGCAAGCCAAGTTACGTATAGTGTCAGATGAGTACAGGTCCATGCTGGAAGAATCACTCATCGAGTACAGAGGCACATTACTCGGACCAGAAGCTTCGGAGGGACACCACTTACTTGCAGGTGGAGACATCACAACAGGTTTTCCTGCTTCTACTGCCCAGAAAATCGTTGGAGAATGCCAAATGGTATTCACCTTTGAAGATTTTGTGTCAAGATATGCTTTCTATAAACAAGACATTGCCAAGCAGGTGTATGCCATAGTCTCAAGCGTTTTAGAGAACTGTGCATTAGCTGGTCCGAGTCGGGATCCTTCAGATACATCAGACACGGATTTATCATCGTCATCGACAAGTACATCTCAACTGACCAGTTTGAGACCAGTCATCATGTCATCATTCACTGATTCCGATTGATTGTTTTGTACATTTTTGGCCTCTTGTAAAAGATTATGCTAATATCTGAGAAGTGTGTTTGTCTAAATCTTTAACTGGGACCCCACATTTGGTTTTTCTGACAAGAATAATAAGAAAGTATAATAATATTCAATTAAATGCAGTAACTCCATTGATAATGCAAAATAGGCTGAACTTTTTTTTGCGTTTTGTTGCTTTGGTCATGTTGATGTCCCAGATACATCAATAAAATCTGTATCTTATCTGCATTTAGCAGTACATATTCTTTCCACTTTCCAGTGCAATGAAAATGAATTAATTAATTTTGACATAGAAATTTGACAAAAAGTCACCCTTCATTATGAATACACCATATTATAAATTGCATAAGGGAGTGACATTTGTCCTTGAAATTGTTGGCCTGTTTTGTAGCTGCGATGGTAACTTTGGGGGCTTTAATTCACCATGATTTGGATGCAGGTCTGTGTACATGGACTGCACTGTTCATTGATTATTTAGTGGCAGTGTTTGAATGA